AAAGATTTGTGAGGTCGCAGTGCGAAAAATTACATCTTATGAAGAGGAAAAAACTACCTTAATCATTAAAAACTGAAGAGCGTATCCGGACACCTACCCCCTGGACATCCACCCTCGGATAACCACCCCCAGTCAACTATCCCCTAGGACAACTACCCCCTAAGGCAACCACCCTCTAGGACGACAACTCCCCGGGACAAGTACCCCCGGACAAGTACCCCCCCCCCCCCCCAGACAACTACCCCCTATAGCAGGCGCGGATCCAGGATTTCTTAGGGGGCCCAAATTTGACATTATGGGAGCCAAGTACTGGTACGTAATGGTGACCGGCATTGACGTAAAGGGCAAAAACGTGGGGGGGGGGGCGCTGACAAAAACATCCGCATCACCCCCATTCTTACATGCAGGCCCGGGTGAACGCTTTTCAAAGTGGGTGAGGGAGACTAAAATATTTATGATCAGGTAGAGCCTAACGTAAATTGGCGTGGGTTCTAGGGGCAAAGGCCCGCCGGGGGAAGGGTCAAGGTGCGGAGCCCCCGCAAGCTCAGGCGATATGGGCATTTAATTAAGGTCAGATGAGCATATTTTGATACCTTATATTCATGGCACTGGCAGGTCATTAATTGGCTTGGGGTCCAGGGGGCTAAGCCCCGTAAAATTCAGGGATTTTTATAACGGTCAAATAAACATTTAGGGGCTGCCTTAGGCCCCCTGGTGTGGTTCAGGGGTTTCAGGGGCGGATCTAGCTTTCTGCTAAGGGGGGTTGACCCAATGACAAAGCGGCGATATTTTTTGTTGTTGACCCCAAGCGCGGATCCAGGATTTTTTTTACATGCAGACCCCGCTGAACGTTTCTCGGCGGGGGTCAAGGGGTGGAGCCTCCAAAAGCTCAGGGGGTATAGGCATTTAATTACTGTCAGATGAGCATTATGTTGATACCTTATTTGTGACACTGGCAGGACACAAATTGGAGTGGGTTCTAGGGGGCGGAGCCCCCAGAAGCTCAGGGATTTGATAATTAAATTACCGTCAGATGATACCTTATTTGTGACACTGGCAGATCACGAATTGACGTGGGGTCCAGGGGCGAAGCCACCGGAAGCTTAGGGTTTTTTGGCAATACATTACGGTCAGGTGAGCATATTTTGATACCTTATTTGTGGCACTGGCAGAATACAAATTGGTGTTAGGTGGAGCCCCCGGAAGCTCAGGGGTTTGATACATTAAATTATCGTCAGATCAGCATCCAGGTGCCTGACTGTGGGCCCTAAGTGAAAATTACTTTTTGTGGTTGCTTTCTTTAGCACAAAAAACTAAAAAACAAAAAATCTTTCCCCTTTTTTTCCTTCTTTTTTTCCCTTCTTTCCCCCTTCTTTTGCTGCCTGGATCCGCCACTGGTTGACCCAATGACGATGCAGAGCATCGTCCTAGAGCCGCGTAGCGGCGAGGCAATTTTTTGTTGGACCCAATGACGAGCCGCATAGCGACGAGGCGATTTTGATGCTCTTTTTGACCCCCGTAAGTGATGTTTTCCTGGCATCTACTAACACAATGAAGACCATAAAAATCAGTGTATGATAACGTCTTTTTAAATCAAGTAACAGTTTAATACACAGTAATATCCAGAGTTATCATGTGTTTGGTTAAGTTACCAGATGAGTTGAATATCTTCTCACAATATGGCGTTTTTGTATGCACATTACATTTTCACTTGGCAGCCCAAGGGAGGGGGGTTTAAACCCCTAACTCCCCCCCCCCCCCCCCCCTCCCTCCCCGTTGATCCGCCACTGGATTTGGGCATTTAATTACTGTCAGATGAGCATATGTTGATACCTTATTTGTGACACTGGCAGGACAGTGGGGTTCATGGGGCGGAGCCCCCAGAAGCTCAGGGGTTCTAGGTATTAAATTACCGCCACACGAGCATCCGGGGGCCCGCTTTAGGGCCCTATGTGGAATCAAGGGGGTAGAGCACTCGGAAGCTCAGAGATTTTCGGCATTTAATCACGGTCAGATGAGCATATTTTGATACCTCATTATATTGTGACACTGGCAGGTCACTATTCTTTCTTTCTTTCTTTCTATTTCTCTTTCATATACTTTTTCAAAAAAAGTTGGAGGGGAAGCTCGAGGTCCCGCTCGTCCCCCTCCCCCCCCCCCCCCCTCCTGGATCCGCGCCTGCCCCCTAGGACAACTACCCCGGACTAAGAATCAAGACGCGCGCTGACCAGATGATTATTAATTTTTCGTATTTTCCTTTTAAATCACTCACTTGTATTCTCGACATAGTTCCTGTTCTCTTGCTGGTCTTTTCGCTTATTGAAATAGCTTTAGAATCTGCTTTTTTTTTAAAGACGAACAAAATACACTCGAAGAAAAACTGGTAATTTTTCTATCCTGTCCAATTATCGATCCTTTTTCCTCTATATTTTTGAAAAACATTTTTGAAACATTGATTATTTTTTTCTCAAAATTAAAAATTTTCCACGCTTTTCCACAGGATATTGTCTTGAAAACAGTCCAAAAAACATTAGAACTAGAATGAATAATACGATTATGTAAACAAGTTAATGTTGTCCATGTTAATCCTCCAGTACCCAATAACTAAGCAAAACTCGAATCTGGTGCAAATGAGGGTAAACTTAAAGACAACAATTCATGACATCTATTATTACGATTGCATTCTCTCCTTATTTCTTCTTGTTTTCTTTATTTTAAAATATATATTTTCTAACGTTCTTTGAATTGATTAAGTACGTTTCTTTTCCTTTTTTGGAGGGGGCTGGGTTCAAAGATAACAACTTCTTTAACAATCTGTTTGTATATGGCAAAGGCCTTATTTTCTTACCTAAAATGTTTTAAATTGTAATCATTATGATTGCTTAATGTCTGCTTGATTATGATAATCAAGCAGACATCTGGCCCCTGTTGCACAAAACTTACCATTGATGGTAGCTTTGCTATCAATGGCATCTACCATGGTAACAAGGCTCAACAGCGAATCAAAATCAAGGTTTCCATGGTAGTTATCATTGATGGCAAAGTTACCATCAATGGTAAGCTTTGTGCAACAGGGGCCAGAAGTTATTAGATAGGCTACTATGTGTTAGGTTTCAATTTTCGTCTGACCCAAATCTGAAAGAAAATAACGTGTTTCTCGTCCGTACTAGGCAGGGCATAACTATTTACTATTTTTCAATTTTTAGTTTTTTTCTTCTTCTAAGATGGCTGCCATGCTAATAGCTGGCCAAGCTTATTTATTCACAGATATTGTGCTATGCGAGTATACAGATGATTTTTTTTTCTTTCTTTCTTTTTTTTTTTTGGGGGGGGGGGGGGCTTTTTTTTTGCTTTTTAAAATAAATAGTAAAAGAAAAAGGATGCGGACGGGGACGAGAAAAACATCATTTTTTTTATTTGGCCTAAAGTCCACCCGAAAGTCTGGACCAAGCTGTCAGGAGTAATTAGGTAGCGATGGCTGAAAATCGAGCTGAAATATCAGCGCATGACGATGTAAATGGACTAAAATTTTGAGTGTAGATTAATTGCTTCTAAATTCATCAGACAAACCATTTTAAATGAATTCATAATGTACAAATGCATCTGAAGATTCATAATATCAGCAGATCTTTTCATGAATCTGATTCATTTTACGAAATTTAAGCGTAAATACAGCTGCACTAACCAGCAAACTTTCAAAGTAGAACTCTTACTCTGTGGGGGTGACGTCATAATACTCTTTAATAATAAAGCGAAAGTGATGAAAAAGTCAAATTCTTATCGGTATATTATCGATACAATAGGCCAATCACTTTTGATATTATAGGTACAGTCCAATCAAAGCTTCATATTATTTGAGTACGCAAAGCAAAAATGAATAATGCATGAGATTGAAATTGATTTCTCCTGATACTTTGAAATCTGGGGCTTCGGGAGCGACGAAATGTCCCAAAAGGGGCGGAGCCAAATACGCTTTATACCGTGAATGGTGACGCTTGAGCCATATAGCTCCGTTTAGTCTCATTTGACAACGCCTCCTAATCGTCAGAGTCAGCAGCCTAACATGTTAGCCTATGGAATTTTACCCAAAAAAAAATCGTTAAAAATTCATTTTTTGTTTAAACGAAAAGCACATCCACCCCAACGTACGTTATCACTAGCTCTTTCATTGGAACCCTCATGTCCCATTGACTTTTGAAAGTTCATCCACCGTAATTTGAACAAAATAGGTTGCAAGCTCGCCTCAAATGAGCGAATTATCGGCCGTCTGTTTCGCCGCTAAATATTTTCTCACGAATCGGGCCCCCTCCCCTGCCGCCGACTGGTTCCGCCCCTGATACTACTTTATTGTATATGGTTCAAGGTCGACGCATCGGAGGTGCAGTCCAATCAAAGCTTCATATTATATGAGTACGCAAGGCAAAAATTAATAATGCATGTGATTGAAATCGATTTCTCCCGATACTTTGAGATCTGGGGCTTCGGGAGCGATGAAATGCCCCAAAAGGGGCGGAGCCAAATACGCTTAGCGTGAATGGTGACGCTTCAGCTTATATGCAAACGAGGCAAACGAGGCAATCGTGTGCTACCTTGTCGCCTATACTATTCAGTGGCGGATCCAGGGGGGCCACCCCCCCCCCCTCCCGGGAAAAAAAAAACGTGTAGAAACACTTTAATTTTACCTTTTTTTGGAGATGCCCCCCCCCAGGCGTTAAGGGGTGGAGCGCGTGCGATTTTTCAAAAAAAAAAATGCTCACTACCCCCCCCCCCCCCCCCCCCCCACTGAGCGAATTATATATATATATTCTCACGAATCGGGCCCCCTCCTCTGCCGCCGTCTGGATCCGCCCCTGATACTACTTTATTGTATATGGTTCAAGGTCGACGCATCGGCGGCTATGATTGGTTCATAGATATGACGAGCTTATCTGGTTGAACGGCCCAGGCCAATTTTGCGATCCGAGTCCTTTATAAATAGGAGTTTCCTTTCCTGACAGAAATCATCTTTGGGCGCACCATTGCGACGCAAGGAAGTTCAAAGGTGAGTCGGCTAGAACCTTAAAAATTCATTAGTTTTTTTTTTCATCAATGATTTAGTAATTTTCAGGTTATCATACCTCAACACTTCATAAGAGCTTGCTCTTGATTTAGATATTTGCCTATATGGATCTCAAAAACTTTATAGGCCTATACCTCCAAGTCATCTTGACTTCTTTTTAGTTATTATGCTAGATTAGTGTATCTTTATCTCTGTTAATAAATCAACGTGATTGGTAAATACTTTTTTTCAGTGACCTGTCTCCGGCTTACTCTAATGTGAGAATTGCCTATTCCTATAATGTACTATATGATTGCAATTAACATCATTCTTAATTCATTTTTCAATTGATGTTAATCGATCGCACTCTTAAAACGCTGAGGTTCTGCCTTAATGCGATTGAGCCGAACTGATCGCTGGCTTTCTTTTCAATCGCAAACCTAAAAACTATTATCTATTTTTTACTTGATTCATATTGAAGTTTTATTTCCCATTTCAAATAATTTCCTTTCATAAACATTTGCTCAATGTCAATCTGTTGTTTTATTTCCCATTTAATCACTGTTTAAATTATTTCCTATTGCTTGAAGAAAAAAATCCTTGCTGATGACAATTTTTCGTTTTCTCTCCCATGTCAGCTATTTCAAGACAAATTCTGCAGAAGAACCAAGATGTTTGGCGGGAAAAGGTCCGCCCCAGTCGTCCTTCTCGTGATGTTACTCCTTCAGGATGCGCACCGGTGTTTTGCGCAGCTACCGTTACCCAGCGGCGTCGCTTTCCTGGGTATCGGGTATAACATCATCGAGGGAAACCCCGAGGGGGGCGACATGGCCACCGGGGGCGTCGACCCCGGACTCCTAGTGAGTCGGTCGATCTTCGTGATGACGTACGAAGAGGGTAAGATCACGAGCGATGAGAAGTATATGATCCCGGACGAGGTTAAATATGTACTTCGAGACAGCTCCTATACCTCATCTTCGGCGACAACCTTTCATAGTACTTCCAGTTATGCCGAGAAGCTTTCATCTCAGGTGGATGTTGGTGGTGAGTATTCATTTCAATTTCAATTCAAAGTATAACATTTATATATTTTCCTCTTTTTCTTCATTTGTTCTTTATATTATTGTACATGATTAAATCACATACTACATTATTTTGTTGAATGTAACAAGAGAAAGCAGTATAATTATAGTAAAGATGATAATAGTACTTACAATAATGATAATGAAAATAATGATTATGATAATAAAAAATAACAATGGTTATCATTATAATAACGATAATTATAATACTAGTGATAATAATAAGAAGAAAAGTATGGTTTTGTACCGCAAAATTTAAAAAAACGTGTATCGTTTTAGCTGATAATTAATCCAATTCGAAATAATCTTTTAAATACGTCAAGTACAGGGAAACATTCAAGAATAATAGAAGAACATTTTTATAAAATTTGTAAACACATAATGTACTGTATAAATTATGAATGATTTCTTAAGAGCACATTAACACTATACAAGGAAATCCCTTTAACGGGTAACCAAGCATAACATTATGTCTATGCCTATATAAATTTCGGAAGAGAAGGTATATGAAGGAAATTGAAAAGGATTTTAGATTATAGAGAGGTTGGAATTGAACGCAGTGCGTACTCTATACCAAAAGCATCGAATCCCTTAAAGGGCAAATCCACTCCAAAAATTATTTACTTTCAATAGAAGCAGAAAATTCAGACAAACAAATTTTAAAAAACTTAAGCAAAATCTGATGACTAATAAGAAAGTTATGAATTTTGAATGACATGAACAACTTTGAAAATCACACGACAAATTGGCAACTTACTTACGAGTCTGTGACGTCATTGCCCCACTATCCAGTAATTGTCTTTTTTATGTTAATAATATAAGTTTCCAATTTTCCCCCTTAAAATCTCATTCCCACACACCATCATTCAAGTTATATTGATATTAATATGTTGTTGTGTGGATGCACTGATATAAGGTTTTTAAAATTAGGTTAAATCATGTTAAATGTGAATTTTGAAAAATTATTTGTATAAAAATCAATGATTATGAATATGCAATGTTCAGAAAATAGAATAATTTCTTCAAAGTTCATAAAAGATGTTGTGAAATGTCATGCACGCAATATGATACACATCACATTTCCTGGGCAAAGGCATGGTTAATCAATTTTGGGGGATAAAAAGGGGAATTAATGTGATAAAAATATATCAAGCAATTGATTAATAGTGTGGCAATTACGACACAAACTGATAATCAATGGGCAATTTGTTTAGTGATTTTCTAAGTTCCATAGTTTTTCATACTTTCTGGAAAATTCATAACTTCCTAATTAGTTATCCGAACCACAAAATCATCATTTCTGGGTCGAAGATGCAACTGTTTTATTCAACTTCGATCCTAAATGATCTTCAATGTATTTCTGTCGCATGAGTCGAGAAATAAGTAACCAATCCCCATTCTTTATTCGAAACTGTCTTCAAAAACAGAATATTTTTGATCTGTTTTGTATTGATAACATGAGGGTGATCTTATTGATAGTTCTGTATAACAGTAAAAGTCAGGATTTTAGAGCTCAGGCAAAGCTTAAATTCTATTAATGGTGAAATTCAAAGAAAATCACAAATATGTCAACTAATGTATGACTAGAAACTGGTAAGCTAACAGATGGCCATCGTACAAGTTTTAGGTCAACTACATATCGGGTGATTTATAAAAAATACAAGTACAACCACCTGCATAGCAGCTGGGATACAAGAGAGATTCGCCGGAAAAAAACAACGATGTTTTAATGACGTCACTATATGGACCAATACTGCCCAAGCAGACGACATCCCATAAAGAATGAACATAATTGCAAAGCTTTTATTTGTCAAATTATAATGAGTTTAGTATATTTCAATGTGATGGAATGTCAAACCATTCAAAAAGGGATGTGACCCGATTCCGATAACTAAAATCTTTTGCTTGTAAATACACAGGAAAAGGGTTAATTAACAATCAAAGAAACACGACTTTCAAATTGAACCCCCCCCCCCCGAATTATATTAAGGACGGCATTTGTTCCCTCTTGAAACGCCGAACAAACCGCGGTGTGTACAACTGAATATTCAATGGCGTCTTATTTTGTTTACAAGCGACAGATTCCTTTATTTTTGTATCGCTGCATTTGTCATCAAAATAAAATCATATGCGGGGTTTGGAGTGAGGCAATAGATTATACATTTAGCCTGACGGTAGTGAAGTAAGAGAAAGAACTCAAGAATAGATGAAAACACAGGCACTGAAAATATGTGAGATATCATGGGACATCGTCTGCTTGTGCAAATCGTGTCCATACTGTGATCTCACACATCTCATCTAATAATAATTACTTCGAATGTTTCCAAGCATTGAATTTTGATAACCTTGTCGAATCAAAGTTTCAACTTTGCAATAATGAAATTAAGTTAGTTTTTAAAATCAATGAATATGTACTTTAAGATCTATTACATGATATATTTACATGTATAACATTGTTTACAAAAATAAACCGAATGGTTCAAATTCGGAATATCAAACTATAACTATTCAGTGACACTTGTAAAACTAACAATAGGCCTAACACACCAGTATCTGTATCCTTCATGAACAGTAACATGATTTTTTGAAATCCTTCATTTCTTTTCAGGTGGATATAGCAACTTGTTTGCTAGTGTTGAATTCGCCGCAAGCTCCCGTAAGTAATTCACAAATTATCATGATAATGTTCGTAGATTATAATGCAATTATGAAAAATGAATCGCAAAAGTATTAAATGCAGCACACAATATTAGTCATCAGCAAAAACGTAGCCAAAACATTATTGAAGGGATATGGACAATTACTCACAGTTTTTCCCTGTAATTTTTTGTCTCGATTTCATTCAATTTCATCCTCGGGTCCTCGACATCATTAACACATACACCTTTTATAATATCGTTATCTCGAAAAGACCAGGATAATGTTTCAACTGATGATATAAGTAAATGAGAACATTATGGATAACCATGTCGAACCCCTCTCCAAATCAGAAAATACGCAGATGTTTTCTTCATTATTCATTATACCAAAATTACCACTTATGTTTGTGTAAAAAGTTGTGACGTAACTTATACAATTTGGTCCAAACTGGAAACACTTCCACTTTAGTGAATCAATACCCTTTCAAAATCCAGAAAAAGCTAAAATACCCGATGTTTTCTAAAGTTCGGTATAATCCATAATATCTGAAATCGTTCTCACAAACTCCCCACCCCCTACCTTCCTTTAACAAAACCAGTTTGATCGGGATAAATTAGTCTTGGAATTATCAATGATAAAGCTTTGGATGCAATTTTACAATGTACATTAAGTAATGATATGGGTCTCCAATTATGGATTTGACATCTATCTTTGCCTTCTTTTTTCAATCACAGTCATCACTGCTTATCTTTTATATGTTGACATTTCTCCACTACTCAAACCCTTATTCAAGACCTGAACAACCAATTTTCCTATAACATTTCAAAATGTTAAATACCATTTACACGAGAAACAATCATTACCTGGGCTCTTGTTTTGGCCATTTTACTGAGGGCATTAACCATTCACTAATGGAAAGATTGGTTTCACACTTTACAATGTCGCCTTTTTCTAGAAAGGGGAAAGATTATGTAGAATTATCTTGAGTATTCTTATCAATTATTGACCTGTACGCATTTTGATAATATGCACCCTGAATAGACAATATTTGTTCTGAAATAGCAATTTGGGTGCCATCATCTGTTATCAACTGTTTACACTGCTTCTTCCGAGAGTATTCCTTCTCAAGGCATTACTCTTTTCACCCTTTTCGGCCCATCTAATTTATGAACGCACAATTAATCCATCTACTGGTCTATCATCTAACTCTTCTAGGGCACTTCTTACAACATGAATCTCATCAAGAGTAGTGTCTGACGGATCCTTAGCAAGATTTTTCTCCAATTTATTTAATGAACTTGTTAACTCGGATACTCTCTCCAATTTATTTAATGAACTTGTTAACTCGGATACTCTCTCCCATTTGTTTTGAGTTTGTTTATTGGCATATTTTTTATATTTAATTTCCTCGCTTGGTATTTTATCCACTCCCGTAGTTACTTGGATATCTTACATACATGTATCACCAATCCAAGTTTGTAAATCAGTGCTCATTGCTTTCACATAATTGGGATCATCAAGATAGGTATTGTTAAATTTCCAATGACTCGTGCCTCTCATAGGGTCCGTAGTTTTTTCTGACTGTTTTCAAGACAGTATCATGTTTGTCGATAACATTTCTATGAAATATATTATATTATGGAATTGAATAAATACTGAACTTGAACTTGAACAATGCATTGTGCTATCAACTTAACGTTCCCACGGTCAGTGTCTAGACCCTTAATCCCCATTAATCCATATGTACACGAACACTAGCTATATATATCCTGCTGTGTTCTTCAATACTACCCAGTGACACACTTGTCTCACCTTCCAGGGAGGGGTTCGGCGGTTCAACCCCCCCAAGCGGCCAAGTGAAAAAAGGGGGGAAAGGTGGGAAGTAAACAGTAAAAATGTGCGATTTTTGGAAAATCCTGGATCCGCCACTGGGTCGAACCCCCTCCCCCACCCCCTGGCAAAAAGCTAGATCCGCCCCTGCATGCCTCCCTGATGCAACCAGGGACCTACAAGGTTGAAATGATGTGATCAGAGAAGAAAATAAAGCACTCTTGCACTTTATACACACCAATTATTCGAGTCATATACCTGTATTTGAGTGGGAAAAGTTTCAATTGTTAATTTTCAGGACTCGTGAACAGTTCGTTTAACGGTTGATTCCTCTTCGTTGGTTCTATTGTCAGTGTCTAGACCCTTAATCCCCGTTAATCAATGTGTATACAAACACCAGCTACATCAAGCTGTGTCATTCAATACTACCCAGTGCCACACCTGCCTCACCTCCCTGATGTAAACATGGGCCTATTATGTTGAGATGATGTGATCAGAGAAGAGAATAAAGCACTATTGAACTTTATGGACATCAATCATTCCAGTCAAATACCACATGAATGGGAGAAGTTTCAATTGTTGTTCATTTTCAGGACTCGTGAAAAAATCGTTTAACGGTTGATTCCTTTTGGTTGATTCTATTGTTCGGATTATTTGGCGGCGAGAGATAAAAGGGAATTTTCCTCAGTGCAACAACATTTTTATTATTATTTTTTTTTATCGCCTCTTTGATTCGAATTTAAAGATAAACTTGAGTTCTGGTAATGCGATTGCATTGTGAAAGAAAAGGTGTGGAATGGATCAGAAAAGTTGATCATATAGCATGTAAGTAATGGTTTGTAATGCAAGGTTCTGGAGTCATCACAAATATCATAAATTTGGCAGAGTCTTGGTAAAATAACACTCACTTACACAGAAATATGCATATGGGACAACACACATGGTGTCGGGGCTAGTACTACCCTGATTTCCTTATCTTTCTATGCTCATTACTCAGCCAGTATACATTTTCTTCCAAAATTGTTTGGCACATGACATTTATTTGTAATCTTGAACATTCAGTGTAGGTTTTGTTAGATTCTGTGAGAATTCATTTTCTTTTTTTACCGGATCTCAAGTTTATCTTTAACTATTTCTCGACAATAAACGACCTCTTGGTACTATATTGTTATACGACGTCACATTACAATCACATGGCAAATAAATTATCATCAGCAACGGGTTTCAAAAGTTAACGAATGCTTAATTTGAACCCGGGTCATTCTTTCCCTATCTCTTTCTCTCACTCCCTCTCTCTCTCTCTCTCTCTCTCTTGTGTCATTCACTCATTGTCTTCCGTTTCCTTGCTTCCTTCCTTCTTACCACGGAGTATATAATGTGTGTTGTGTGTGCCTCGATCATAGCGAAAATAAAAATCGATATCGCTGAAATTACTTTTCTCCTTCCCCCTTCTTCCTAGTAGAAGTGTGCATAACTTTACATGATTACTTTCTATTTTCTTTGACGCTCGGGTATCATAATCCGACTGGGTGCCATATAAGATAGGTGATGGACATGACCGCTGGGCCATTCATGAAAACGAATCAATAAATATTCTGTTGTTCATAAAGTCTTTGATATTCTTGACAGACAAAGTGTATATTTTCTCAAAACTTAAAGGATCAATTACCTTATGTATTAAGGCTCAGTAAAAAGTAGGGTACCGAATCAATAATATGATAATGTTTTTTTTTTTTTTTTTTTTCAATTTTCTTTGACATTGGTCAGTGTAACAAAATTATTCCAACTTTATGGTATCAGTGTATGAAAATACACTATACAATTTGAATTAAATGCATTCGTATTACTGTAAGGTTGTTCGCTCGTTTTATTCTGTACATCGCAAATGAACGACAATGTTTAGAAAGGTTGTACTCCATTTTCTCAAGTCATAGTAATCGACGTCTTGACACGACACTATCTTCCGCATGCAGAAAACCAACTTAGCGTTCGAAGTTTTCCTTTTTTCTTTATATATCTTAAACAATTTTACCAAAATTCTTGACAGAAATCATAAAAACGATCATAATTTGGAAATAGGCCCATGCAGTATACGAACAGCCTGAAACTAGTCTTTTAGTGATCTTATTCACAAAATGCCTTCAGACCAAAATATATAAAACCGTTTGTCCGCGATCCAAAACAGATATTCCGCTGGAATTTAAGCCATTGGCAAGATCATTTTGAGTCGTTGTGTCCGACATGTTCAAAGTGATAAGAAAACGAAATTTTACCGCCCCATTCATGTTGACATTGGTTTTCACATTTAACAGTACTTTGCGTTTCCTGTAAAATTAGTATGTCTCCAATAAACCTGTTACTCGAATTGAAAATACAATTTAACGGTTTTAGGACAATTACCGCCTTAGCAATCACCCCCGGAAAATTAATATTATCTTTCAAATGCTGTTGGAATTTAACCTTTTCATTTTTTTGGCCTGCAAATGGGACATCGTACCAATAAGGAATGGGCACTATATTCCCGAAATGTGGTTGCCCTCGGGGGTTAATTGTTCTCGGGGCAATTTTCCGGGGGGTGTTTTTCTTGGGTAATTTTCCTGGGGTAATGGCCCAGGGGGTAATTGTCCTGATACGCAATTTAACATATAAGGTAACCATATAGTTGACAAAAAAATGGCAATAAGTTACAAAAAGGGTATATTTATGTCCAATGATTATTATAATTATCATAATTAGTTTTTTATTATTACTTTTTGAAGGTTATCAAGAAATAGAAGCGCGAACGGACAGCCAAGGTTACATTTATTACGCGAACCAAACCGTATCGAACATGGGAAACGCTCGTTACATGACGGAGCTCGCCGGTCCTGACAAATACACCCTCAACAATGGATTCGTTTCTACCGTATGCCGTCTACCAACGGCTTACGCTGAGGATGACTACATGACTTTCCTCGATACCTGGGGAACTGTAAGGAACATCATATGTTTTCGAAATTAATATTTGTTTTTCTCGTTCTTGTGGTTTTAAAGACCGATATTAAATATCACGTCTGTTCGACATTATTTTCATTTGCAAAACAATTCAATACCCTTTGTACGGTTCTAGGACACCTACCCCCAAGACATCCACTCCCGGATAACCACCCCCAGTCAACTACCCCCTGGGACAGCTACCCCCTAGGGCAACCACCCTCTAGGACGACTACCCCTGGATAACTACCCCCTACGACAACCATCATCTAGGACAACTACCCCTGGACAACTATCCTAGGGGTGAGTCGTCTGGAGGTAGTTGTCCGGGGGTAGTTGTCACGGGGGAAGTTGTCCTAGTGGGTGGTTGTCCGGGGGTAGTTGTCAGGGGGTAGTTTTCCTTGGGGTAGTCATCCTAGGGGTTGTTGCCCTAGGGGGTAGCTGTCCTAGCGGGTAGTTGTCCTAGGCAGGGGCGGATCCAGTCGGCGGCAAGAGGGGAGGGGGCCCAAATCTTGAGAATTGTTTGCGCCGTCTTAGCCGGCCGGTAAATAAGCGGGGGAAGGGGGGGGGGGTAAGAGCACATGTTTTTTTTTGTTTTTTGGGGGGTCCAGTTTTTTAGGAAAATGTTTGCGCCGACTCAGCCAGAGGAGGGTGAGAGCACTTTTTTTTTCTTTTTTTTTTGGCCCAATTCATGAGCAAATATTTAGCAGCGAGTCATCCAGCCGGTGAATAAGCGGGGGGGGGGGGGGTTCGTGGAGAGGAGGGCCACTTATTTTTTTTTGGGGGGCAACATGTTATACAAATATTTTTTATTTTTCTGTTTCAAAAAAGGTCAATTTTCGTTACTATCCTATTTTTTACCGTTTGGGGGGCTGGCAAATGGAGTACAACGACTAATAGCAGGCTCTTCTCCAATGCAAAAATAGACGACATTGTGCTGGATTTGTATGTTTTTCCGACAACAGTACAGAGAAATTGCACATTATTTTTTCATTTTGTACTTTTTGAAAGGTAACCCGAGTGCCTTCCGGGCACCCCAAAGCTGGATAATACAGCGTTTCCATATGGGGGGGGGGGGGCCTGGCCAGTAAAATCGGCCCTTGGATCCGCGCTTGGTCCTAGGGGGTAGTTGACTGGGGTGGTTATCCGGGGGTGGATGTCCAGGGGGTAGGTGTCCGGATACGCCTTTTTACACGTTATCAAAGCTCACATTTACATTATTTCAGCTGAATAACAGGTTTTCTTTAATCTGTCACCCGGGCGCATACCAAATAATGAACAAAGATTTGTTCATTTCGAAAAGATATGCTGTTATGATCAAATTACTTAAAATTTTAAATGCCATTTAACTTCATAGAGTTTATTATAGAAAAAGTTCGCCCCCGATATTTAGTTGGTTTCATTATAATAATAATATTTAATTAATTATGGACCCTACTACAGCTGGACTAATAATGAGAGTCTTCCTTTGATCACATGGTGACCACCGTCACTTGATAATTTGTATGTTGATGAGGACATTCATTTGACGCGACAATGTTGATTATGTAAACACGCATTATCACAGACAAAAGAACTTTTACATCTCTTCAGATTCCTTTTTTTGCTGGACCAGGACCCCGAGTGGAATTTCAGGAAAAGTATCTTAACTCAATTTAGAGGAGCAGTGAACCCCAAATTATTGTGACAATTTATGTGATATTAGATTGATTATTAAAGAAGTGGACACTGGTGGACATACATCTGGACCGTGCCAAACTTTGAAAAATACATATTCTTTACTGTCCTATTACCTTCTATTCCTTGGAAATGAATAGGATAAGTTAAAAATGAAGTTTAATATCATTTTGTTACAGCCAAATTGTCAGGTTTCTCTTGTAAACTATTTCTTTTTTCTTATTGAAAACTTCATATATGTCAAAATTCATATGTACTCCACAACTGCACGTGCATTTCCGTGATTTTAAGCGATTCAGTTTCTTTTGCGCAGGTATTTTGTAGATTCTTCAAGGCACATTTTTTTTTTGTAATGGCTGACTGTCGGCGGTCGTGATGAGATCAAAGCTTGGAAGCATGTTTGGAATGTCATTAAGATACTTTTGACAGAGTCAGGTGCATGAATATATTATCGTACCGATCAGTGTCCATTTGTAGTAGGTCCATGGTTTCAATAATGATAATGATAATAATATGGGATATTAATAAAGCTCACATATCTACCATGCAAGGTGCTCAAAGCGCTCCGAATATTACCCGGCTCTGCTTGGCTGCCGATCTCGGCGCTCACAGCACTCAAGGAATTCCCTCCTACCGGTACCCATTTAACACCTGGGTGAAGAGTGGCAAATGTAGATTAATGAAGGCAGTTAAATAAGAGAAACAGATAAATGGAAGTTTAAGCATATATAATCCAATGAAAATAAGAAATTTATGAATTCTCATAAGTTGTAATTAATAAAATCGAAAAAAGAAATCGGAAGTTTGTTTTGAAATTTATGAGAAATTGTTAGCCTGTTGTGAAAACTAACTCCTTAATCTAATAATGGATGACTCTACAAATGCTGATATTACATTCATGGTGCAGTGAGCAGTGGCTACTTTTGTAAAATGTGTGAAAATATCACGTATACTCGTATATTTTTCATAAATGTTTAATAAAAGACCCTAGTTTCGAGGGAAACTAATTTTAGTATTCTTTGTTTTGACAGCATGTCGTCACTGAGGTGGATCTAGGAACCAGGGAGGGGAATAACTATGAGGAGCAAAGGACGGAATTCGTCTCGTATGCTTCATCAAATGTAAGAGAAAACATTAATATCTATATTTATGTTTATATTTATATTTATTGATTGATCGATTTGATTGTTCCACTGTTGGATGAAACACCCGGCTCATATAAGAAAAAATTAAGGAAGTGGTTTATAGAGTTATAAACAAAATATGTCCTTTGTGGGCGTTTGTTCATAGTGAAACTACTAATACTAGTACTACTTCTACTACAAGTAATATGAATAATAATGATACAATAATGATGATAATATAATAGTAACAGGGTTATAATGAAATAATGACAATAATGGTTATCTTCATGATTACAGGTCGGCAGTAGTGTAAGCTCTGGAGGGTCATATTTGGGCTTCAGCTCCTCGCTTTCGGTTGATATGGATACCTTCAACGCCGGAATGCAGAGTGGCTCCAGTTTCGGTAGCTTGTTCTCCTCCTACAGGGTTGGAAGCGCTAGCCTCAATGGTGAGAAATAGAATCTTAAATGTATTGATTTTATTCAAATTATATACCAATGTTAATGTTATTTTGTATATTTTGTGAGGATTATTTTTAACAGGCCATTTATGTGCTATCCATGATCTTCTTACTTCTCTCAGGCAAACCTTTTATTTTTTCCTCCTTTATTTCTTTATTTCTTTTTGATTTTCCTCTTTTCTGTTGGCCTTTCGTTTTTCATTACGCATGTTTTTATTTTTTGTATACATAATTCTTAATATATGAATTAACATGTTTATTCATGATGAGGACGTCAATTCAATCTGTGATTATGACGACAACCTTTTTCTTTTATGGCATGTAACCTCACGTGTTACAATTGATTAGATGAACATCAAAATCAAAATATTAAATCAAATCAAATCAATCAAATCACTTTATTCAAACAAATACAATCTAATTTAATCTAATGTAAAACTTATCATTCAAACGAAATCTCATTTAACTAAATAAAATAAAATAAAAACTAACCAAGCCGAAACAAATCAATTCAATTCAAATTAAACAAAAATCAAACCTAACCAACTCACATCTAGTCAAATCAAACCAAGCCGAACCAAATCAAAATATGTATATAAAATTATTTCAAATTAAACAAAATCTTCTTATCGAACCTAAATAAAGCACAACTAATTAAATGAAATCATATCAAATCTAATAATCAAATCTTTCCAGAGCCAATCAGCTTGACACTCGTCGACATGCATGAGTTATTTCGTGATGATTACTGGACCCGGATGCAGGATTACATCGCTTCTGAGCACTGCACGGCATCATGGGATAGGGCGGCGGCTGCGGAGAATGTCTTGACGGCTATGAAGGGCTATGCGGAGTGGAAGAAGATACAGGACAGCATGAGTAAGTTTTTTTTTGCACTCGAAATTTGTAATACTAAATCAAAGTAACCAACCAAATGGATTAGTGTGTTATTACCCCGCCCCATACTGTTATGAATAGTTGTCAGTGCCATCGATTAGGAGAGTTTAGTTAACTCGGTTCGAGTTGGGCACAATATGGCGAGTAGGCCTACTTTGTTGCTTTGTTGGGCAGACACAAAACAAAACAATGTGTTGTAAACAGCTGAAACTAAGTTGGCCAAACCATATGTGTATATTGATCTGGTAGTTATTGAGCTATAGCGCCACCTTGTTGCGTCGACTTGTTATTGTTGTTTGTTATTTCCGGTAACACCCTACCACTCGGGTGCTTCTATTTGTCTTAAATGAAGAGCTTTAAAGTTTGCTAATGCCTGGATTACATTTGGCCTGCGATTAGTCTACGGAGCCCGTATCCTGCCCGTATCCCCTTTTCCGTGCGGCCTTCGTGCGGAGGCAGGAGGCGGCAGTGAGATATTCGTACGGATTCACGGCCCTGCGACCTCTGTGAATTTGTTTCGTTAGAAGTTATACAAATTTGAAAAATCGTAAGCCCGTAGCCCGTAGACATGTCGTAGGCGGCATTGCACGATCCCCGCACGGGCATTGCCCGAAGCCTCGCTCTGATTGTGCAGCAAACGTACGATTTTTCGGTGAACATGAGGGTACGGCGGCTTTACGGTCACCGCGCCTTCTCCGCGCAACCTTTGCACAGAAGCTACACGGGCTTCGTACGATGTCCGTGCGGAGGCTGCGGAGACTGCACGGCTACTGCATTCAAATTGCAAGATTTCCGTACAATCTCCGAGCAGTCTCTGTAAGGATTTGCCCCGGCCTGCCCCCGAGGGCCAATCCAATAAATGGCACGATGCTCGTAGATAACGTAAAGACAAACATCGTAGCCCGTAGCCTCCTACGATGTCTACGGAAAATCGTAGACTAATTTATCGTACGGCGCCCGGGAAAAATGTAATCCAGGCATTAGACAACTAATAGTCGTTATTTTCCCACTAAGAGCCATTTTCAAGCCCGTTTTAGGGAAGTTCTCGATTAGTATTATCTTCCACATGCCGTTGAAATGTAACATTTTCATTTTTTGACTGGAAATGTGTCATCGTAACTTTAAAGCCTTGCCAAAGAACATAAATGCCGTGTCGAGGATCGAACCCACGAACTTTGCATTTCAAATCAACTGCTTAGACCAATAGACTATGACACCTCTACTTAAACCTTCTGTTTGACAGGCCGGACAGGCGGGTCAATTAAACGGTTGGCCTGAGACAAAAATGATCACAAGATGCTGCCTTGATTTCCTTGAACACAATTCTTGTTAAAACAAAGGATCGACTATACAAAGGCGTCAAGTGGGAGTTGTTGGGACCATGCAAAACAAAAGAGTATACGCCATATTCAGTACAACTGAAACTAATTTAGCCAAACTCTGTGTGTATAAACATGATAAGCATCTCTAGCTTGCTCTAAAAATCAATTTCAATGAATATTAGAGAATTCGATCGGTTCTACATTTCTTCCAGACAAGAATGTGATGATTCCCCTGACCTGGCCCGATGGCAAGTACGGACTTGCCAAACCCACCGATGGTTGTCCCAACACGGAGTTCACCTGGAATGAGGGATGGAGATACCAAGATACAGAGGATAGTGACAGCAGCAACGCCTGGAGCGATCCTATTCACATGATAAGGCTTTCTGCCAGTTACCTAACGCTAAACTTCTGTATCAAGACCGTATCCAACGTTGATGAGCGATCGAAATGGACCTGGCAGCCCGGGAGCTACTGCATCTTCAAGTACGGTGACAAGTGCCCTCCAGGTAGTTCACGTTTCATTTTTCACAGTTTTAAAGTAAATTACGTTATCGGTTTATGACTTTGATGTTCATCTAATTCAATCGGGCGATAAAAGCACTAGTCCGTATACGTCACACACACGCGCCGACCCAAGCACACACCCTCACAATACTATTTTTATGTGTATTTGTGTAGGTTGTTGGATTTGCAGAAAGGTGTTTACTGGAGTGTGGAAATCATATCTGCTATATCCCCCATCTGAAAGCCGCGAATTGCTTTTTCATCGAGATCCATCATAGTCGGTTTAATAGTGTATAGGACAGACTACACCATTAACCTGTATCTCATTATGATCACCTTTTTTGCATTATTTTCTCTGACATTTTTAACTCGTCTCTCGGAGTTTGCACCTTTGAGTTTTCCCTTTTATCCGATCTTTTTGTCTTTATTGACCTTTCATTGTTGTCTGACCTTTTGCCTCTACCTGATCTTTCACTTTTACTGACCTTTCACCGTCATCTCACCTCAAAACTTGATCCGACCTTTCACCTTCCTCTGACATTACACCTTTCCCGACTTTTCACCTTTATCTGACCTTAACTTTTCCACCAGACTTCACGGGAGGCTATTTTTTACTGGGATGATAAAGAGCATCTTACGGCGGGGCTATGCATTGCTAAAGAACCACTCTATCGCCTTCGACCTTTTACCTCTATCTGAATGTTTGCCTTTAAGCTTTCATTTATCAGACCTTTTTGCCTTTATCTGAATAATTGTTTAGCTTTCATTGTCTTCTGACATTTCGCTTTTATCTCATCTATTGTCTCGACCGACCTTTTGCTCATACTGATCTTCCACCTGTTCTAACCTCTCAATTTTATCCGACTTTTCACCGATATCAGACCTTTTTACCACATGTCTCATCGGCCTTCGCAGAAGGTTGTATTTACTGGAACGATGAGGACAGGGATACAAAAACTCTTACGGTGGCACCTTGCCGGCTTAGGATCACTCTGTCCTGACCTTTCACCTACATCTGACATTTGCACTTGATCTAGCCTTTAACCTTTATCTGACTTTTCTCCACCTCTTTCTTCAGCCTTCACCGAAGGTTGGATTTACTGGGATGATGAGGACAGTTCCAACCAGAACTCGTTTGGGGGGGCCGTGCCGGATGGAGTCTACGGTCGTAACACCAGATATAACTTCTGTTGTCGCAGCGATGGTGTGACTGACCGGAGCATCTTCCTACCCACCGATGATAACTTTTACCTATTCTCACAGTTCGAGAATTGCCAGCAGGTGGGTTTTGAACAAATTCAAAAAGATGTCCTACAACACTATTTCTCTTTAAATGCTACAAATACACATACAAACTACAAAAATACAAACAAAAACATGGCGTAGTAAAGTGTAAATAAGTGCAACGCCTGGTACATTTTTGTGTAGTTATTGTAATATTTATGTTGTTGTTGTTATCATTATTCTTCTTCATCTTCTTCTCCTTATGATTATGAAACTGTATCTATACAACTATACCAGTTGTGGATTCAGGGGGAACAGGGGACATGTGCCCCCCCCCCCTTAAAAAAGGAGGAAAGGAGGAAAGGAGAAAAGGGAGGGGGAAGAAAAAGGAGGGGGAAAAGAAAGAAAAGGGAAGAGAGAAAGAAGAAAGAGGGAGGAGAGAAAAGGGAAGAAGAGAAAAAGGAGGGGAAAGTAAAAAAGGGGAAGAGAGAAGGGAGAGAAAAGGCGGGAAAGAGAGAAAGGGGGAAAAGGAGAATAATGAGAATGGAAAAGAAAGAAAGGGGGATGATACTATAAGAAGGTGTTTTTTACCGTGAATGTGGCGGGGGGGGGGGGGCACGCAATATTGCAGTGTGCATAATATGGGGCCCCTCTTGCCAGGCGTGTAGCCCCCCCCCCAAAAAAAAAAAACAAACAAACAAACAAACAAAACAAAACAAAACAAAACAAAACAAAACAAAACAAAACAAAACTAGAAGAACAAGAGATGGGGAAAAGGGGGAAAGAAGAAAAAAAGGAAAAGAAAGAAGGAAAAAAGAAAATGAAAAAATGAAAAATAGAAGAGAAAAGGGAAACAAAAGAAACGGGGCTGAAAGAAAGGAGAGAGAGAGGCGGGTGAGAGCCTGAGAGTAGAGGGGCGGGAGTAAGAGAAAGAGGGGGATGTTGGGTGGAGTCACCACGTCGAAGCTTTCAAGTTTCATTAAATTATTAGAGGAGAAGAAGAGTCGTTGTACCGTTCTCTACTCTTAATCCTTGTCTGAATTCAGTTTCCCCCTCCCGCGCGAAGCGTGGAAGCCTTCCCGTTTTATTAAATTATTAGAGAAAGTGAACGATTCGTTGTACTGTTTTCGTTTCTTAATCCTGGTCTGAAATCAGTTTTCCCCCTCACGCACAAAGCGCGAAAGCTTTGACGATTCATTAAATTATTAGAGAAAAAAGACGATTCGTTGAACCGTTGTTTACTCTTAGTCTTTGTTTGAATTGAGTTCCCCCTCCCGAGTTTGACGTTTCATTTAATTATTACTCTTAATCCTTGTGTGAATTCAGTTTTCCCCCTCCCGCGCAAAGCGCGGAAGCTTTAACGATTCATTGAATTATTAGAGAAAGGGGATGATTCGTTGTACCGACTCTTGATCCTTGTCAGAATTTTCAAAAATGTTTCTTTGTCCGATAAAACGTCACAGTTCGTAGGGGGAAAACATTGCCGGCCGACCGACATAATACATCCCACCGACTTCAAACTTCTGCATTGATATAGTACACGAGGATCGAGCAAGAATACCGACACAGCGGACCCGACACAGCAACAAAATTATCTATGGGTAACTTTCTTGCCCCCTAGACGTGGTGACTCCATCCAACATCTCCCTCTCTCTCTTACTCCCAACCCTCTTCTCTCAGACTCCCCCCCCCCCCCTCCCTCTCTCTCTCTCCTCTCTTTCATCCCCCTTTCTTTTGTTTTCATTTTTTATTCCTTTTTTCCTTTTTTCCTTTTCTCCTTTTTTTTTCTTTTCCTTTCTTTCCTCTCCTTCCTCTTTTTCTTTATTCTCTTTCTTTCTTCTCTTCTTTTCTCTTTCCTTTCTTTTCCCTTTCTTTTCCTTTTCTTATTTTCTTTTCTTTTCCTTTGCCTCTCATTTTTCCCCTCCCTCTTTTCTCATTTTCCAAAACAGCAGCGCAATTTTACCGACAATATCCCGACAGGTGGGGGTGTCGCACCCCACCCCCCCCCCCCCCTTTAGCAACGTCCCTGGTTGTTATCCCATTATTCTTTTAAAAGAAATGCACTCCTCATGCTCTCGCACCTCTCTTTTATCGTTGTTTAATTCTCTTTAATTTTTTTTCCTTTCTCCTTTAAACTCACAAAAATTCTCTCTTTCCCCCTTTTCTTCCCCCTTTTCTCTCCTCCCTCTTTTCTTCTTCTTTCTCTCTTCCCTTTTCTTTCTTTTTCCCCTCCCTTTTTTTCTTTTTCCCCTCCTTTTTCTTCCCCCTTCTTTTTCTCATTTTCTCCCTTTTTCTTTTCCCCCTTCCCCCTTCTTTTTACCGGGGGGGGGGGGGGCACATTTCCCCAGTGCCCCCCCCCTAAATATGCCTCTGATATAGTTGTATATATGTACAGTTTTCTGCGTTCTGATTGGCCGGCTGGATAGACGTATAGTCGTTTAGTTGTATAGTTGTACGAATAGTGGCATGCTTGGTCCGCCATATACGCCGCCATGATTACCTCGACTAGCTCTTAACACGACCTTTACCCTAGGGTAACTTTTGTCCGTCTGAACGTAGCTATGGTCACATCACCTAAAAGTAGCCTGCTCGGCGGCCGGGCGGCGAGATTGAGCCGATTTCGCCCAGGCAATGAACGGCGGCCGCCCGGGCACCGCTTGTTTTTAGGGCATCGCTCGGTCGCTGCTGATGTTTTAGGAGTTAAAATTCGGGCGGCGCCTGCTCACTTTCACTCGCCGCCCAAAGTATGCTCGGTGCCCGGGCGGTCGCCGTCCGGGCACCGACCTAATCGAGCATTCGGCGTCGAGCGATTTAGGTCAAAAATCGAAGCCGCTAGGTCAAAGGCTGTTGAGCGTTCGCCGCCCGCTCGCCGCTGGGAGATCAGTCGGTCACTGGGCGGCGAGTTCAAAATCGGTCAGCAGCCTTTGACCTAGCGGCTTTGATTTTTGACCTCAATCGCTCGACAGCGAACGCTCGATTAGGTCGCTGTTCGGGCGGCGAACGCCCGGGCACCGAGCGTATTTTGGCGCCCCGGCTGCCGGGCAATTTGCTTAAAATTAGCCGGTGGCCGGTGGGAGACCGCTCGGGTATCGGTGGGTCATCGCCAACCGGAAAAGCTCTCCGATTTCGCCCAGTTTTTACCTAAAATTGACCGGCGACGTACGGGAAATCGACAGGGCACCGCCCAGGCATCGCTGGGGCTCTACAGCCTGCTCGACTTCTCCAAAAATCGTTGGGCGATGCCTAAATTCCAGCAGCGACCGAGCAGGCTACTAATCGGTCGGTCGCTGCTCTGATTTGTGACCATAGCTTAAAAACGTCTTTATTTCCACCCTATGTTACATAATTTTTATCTTGTATAGGTGGACGGGATGACGGTGACAAAGGAATGGATTTATTGGGACACTGATGACTATGATACCGAAGACAGTATGTCTTCAGTACATCCCCACCCAGGCGTCTCTAGCAACGGTAGAAACATCAACCTCAACTTCTGCTACTACCAAAAGCAGGCTGGTAAAGGAAGTACCGAATTTTCATGTACAAGGCCAGAGAGTGGGGGAGATTGTGGAAAGGGTCATGCCGGTATTCTACTAAATGGTAATGAATAAATAAATATTTCTAGTCATATTTGCTTTGATACACTTTTATTCACTTGGTAGTGACCGAGACAGTAACTGATTCATTCAGTAGTTTAATTTTTGTTCTTCTTTTTTATTCTTTCAGTGAACTTTATTTCACATGTATACATTGTTCACACTAGCATAATATTGAAACATTATTTTAGCATATCAGTCAAATCTTTTACCTGTTTTTCATTAACCTTTGTTTTTGTTTTAGAATTTAGATGTGACATCCATTCATACTTCAAATCTGTTAAAAGAGTTCTACCATTCATTTTGCTGTTTGTTTTTTAGTTCTTATAAATAACATATTCGGCAAAATTATTCAAAATGTTTACCAAGTAATCATCTAAATTGCCTATCTCATATCTAATTACTAAAGTCTTCTCATTTATGTTGATATCTAATCCAAACAAATGATATATCAAACGTGATACAATTTTCCAAAACACAAATATCTTTAGCATCACTCTAGCATCATCAGCCGTGATGTTTCAATTGTATTGCAATCTTGGCATACATAATCATGTTTTGTTTTCCTTTTATATAGGTAATATTTTTACGGTAAATACATATGCAAAAGTTTAAAATTAATTGCGTAATGCTGGTATCTCGTATAGTATTGAACTTAAAGCTTATCTGCCGTAGTTTACAGGAGGGATTAGACCGTTCTGCAAGGTCACTGGACAGGTGGTTATCTCATCAACTCAGCTCTCAGTTAACATAAGAAAAAGAGGATCATGGGGACCAATGGTCACCGATTAGGCATTGTTTATAATACAGAGGGCGCAAGTAGCTACCAGTAGTGCAGTGGGCCTTTAAACATTACTACCGGATTCCAATTAAAATCGGAGGGCAACTAATTGCTGCTGCCAAGCATTGTATACAGAAGACTCTTCTTGTTTTTTCTGCAGATATAATAAGTAGAACTGTGTAGCGTTCATATATATTTAAAATATCAATATCATCCCCTGTTGATATGTGTTTGAAACAAACCATTAAGTAATTGATCAACCAACAATTTTAGAAAGGCTTTCTTCATCTTTGAAAATTTGAAAGGGAACAACAGTTCTGGAAATTTATATTTTTGACTCATGAAATCCACATCATTCCAATGCCCTTGACTAAAAATATGTTTTACTTAAAAAATCCCAACCTGTTCCAATAACTTGAAATGCAATGGTCTACGACGACGTCATCAGCACGGTCGAGATCCCCCTTAATCTCTGCAACAACAATATGGTTACGTTTCTGCCACTCTGGCTGCATATATTGGGTGATATTAATGACGTTTATTATACATTAATATTTTGTTATTCATAGTAGAATAGTAACTGTTCATTGTACATATTGTGCACTTTTTGTAAACACTACACGTAATTTGTATAAATAAGTTCAAATTTGAAATGCAATTTTTTTTTTCAAAGAAAGGACTTATGATGGCTGTGCATTAAATCCATTTGGAAGTGTACAAGTTGATGTTATTGCTTCTCTATTGAAGAAAAAAAATTACATTGTGAATTTTAAATCAGAAGCGCAATTTGATTTGTTTTACATTAATTGGGAATAAAAACCCAAATTGTAATCCCTATCGCACTACAAAATGCTCAAGGGGTTACAATTTAATAATACTGTTTAAGAGTACACTTTTGTGAAATACCCGTTATAGGGTGTGAAAAAACCACGCGAAATCCTTATAGTGGTATTTTGGCTTCCGAAGAAATCCTCGATTATTAGGGGGTGTCTGGAATACCTGTGGTCAAGCTTACCGTATATCACATGACTGAGACCCATGGGGATGCAAATCAGTCGTAAGTCCTTCAGTCAATAGCAAGTTTGCAGTCTCCTGTCTCTTATGTACGTAGTTACGATTGATTTCAACTTTTGATAAGACGAGGCCCAGGTCAGTTTTAGCAGTCAGCAGAGATTAACTCTTTTATGCATGCATATTGGAACATTGAGGTTACGACAAATTATTTCCAAAGCAATGTTTAAGGGGGTTAGGCTGTTAAAGGGGTTAGGCTAAACTAGCATGTTTGTCATTATATGGCCCGTTTTACCAACCAATAGTTTCTCTTCTTCTATAATTATGTAAACACATTGTGCGAAATGTATAATGTTATTGCTGTATGTCAATTCCAAAAACAAAAAATCTAATCAAATATGCAATGGACATTTAAAACAGGGCCCCGTCTTACAAAAAGATGCAATTGATCTAAATCAATCAAAAGTCCCCCAATTAATCGCAAGTTTGCAATCTCCCATCTGTTATATCCATAGTTGCGATTGATACCAACTCTTTGTAAGACATGGCCCAGGAGACTGAAAAGTCGCTGATATATTGTTTTCATTGGTGTACTTTTTTCTTCAGTAAAATTTAATCTGTTTCGGGACACAATTATCAGTGAATACGGCTGTGGTTATGGGTATTCCTTGCAGAGGAAAATGAGTTTAAGCAGAATAAATGCATAAGGTGACGGGAACTCGCGAGTTTAATGCATTTTTTGTTACGGCGTTATGATTGTCAGAGAGATAAAAAGCCAAATTAGAAAGAGATGGAAATGTAGATATAGAAAATGTTGATATAGAAAATGTTGATATCAGAGCAAACTAAGAAAAATAGAGATAGTGAGAGAGGAGGAGAAAAATAGAGAGGGAGAGAGAGAGAAAGAGAGAAAGAAAGGGAGAGAGGGGACAGAGCTAGAAGAGAGAGAGATATATATAAAGAGAGATAAAGCCTGTGGGAGAGAATTTCTCGAAAGAGGAATTTCTGATACAGGCTATACAACCGTATCCGTGTAGGCCTACATATAGTCTACCTATTTTAGGGTATCTGGATAAAACGACCCCCCCCCCCCCCCAACGAACCTCAGATTCAGCCTATTTGAGCTCAGGCTCCACATTTCGTCCTCCGAATTGGATTAACGATTGGAAATGGATTAGGGCACAGGTGGGAGAGGGGGGCGGGGTTGGAGGGGTGTATATTTCCAGGTTATGATCCAAGGGCCGTACCTCTCCCAGACCAAACCCAATCTGGCACATCTTTACGTATAAACAGTAAATATGCACCCTACTGTCTTGTTCCCCAGGACCTAATTTATCCCCAAATCGAAAATGGTAAGTGGACACTTTTTTTTTTTTTTTGGAGTCCAAAAAAAAATCGCAACGAGTGAGCCAGCCGAAAAGTCGCTCAGTGGGGGGGGGGGGGGGGGGGGGGGGGGGGTAGTGAGCACATTTTTTTTGAGGGGGGGGGGGTTCTCGAAAATTTAAAATTTGCACCCCCCCCCCTTGAGCGCCAGGGGGGAGCCCAACCCCCAAAAAAAGGTAAAAATCGCGTGATTTTGCATGATTTTTCTCAAGGGGGGGGGGCCACCCCCCCCCCGATCCGCCACTGAGGTAGAGAGGTGGTAGAGGTAGGGTGGTGGTAGAGGTAGGGTGGAGGTAGGGTGGTGGTATAGGTAGAACGGTAGAGGTCGAGGTTTGAGTTTAGGGGTAGGGTGCTGGTAGGGTGGAGGTAGGGTGGTGGTAGAGGTAGGGTGGTAGGACTGTGGAGGTAGGGTGCTGGTAGAGGTAGGGTGTTGGTAGAGGTAGAACGGTAGAGGTCGAGGTTTGAGTTTAGGGGTAGGGTGCTGGTAGGGTTGAGGTAGGGTGGTGGTAGAGGTAGAATGTAGAGGTCGAGGTTTGAGTTTAGGGATAGGGTGGGAGGTAGGGTGGAGGTAGGGTGGTGGTAGAGGTAGGGTGGTAGGACTGTGGAGGTAGGGTGGTGGTAGAGGTAGGGTGTTGGTAGAGGTGTAGAACGGTAGAGGTCGAGGTTTGAGTTTAGGGGTAGGGTGCTGGTAGGGTGGAGGTAGGGTGGTGGTAGAGGTAGAGGTAGAATGTAGAGGTCGAGGTTTGAGTTTAGGGGTAGGGTGGAGGTAGGGTGGAGGTAGGGTGGTGGTAGAGGTAGAATGTAGAGGTCGAGGTTTGAGTTTAGGGGTAGGGTGCTGGTAGGGTGGAGGTAGGGTGGTGGTAGAGGTAGAACGGTAGAGGTCGAGGTTTGAGTTTAGGGGTAGGGTGGAGGTATAGGTAGAACGGTAGAGGTCGAGGTTTGAGTTTAGGGGTAGGGTGCTGGTAGGGTGGAGGTAGGGTGGTGGTAGAGGTAGGGTGGTAGGACTGTGGAGGTAGGGTGCTGGTAGAGGTAGGGTGTTGGTAGAGGTAGAACGGTAGAGGTCGAGGTTTGAGTTTAGGGGTAGGGTGCTGGTAGGGTGGAGGTAGGGTGGTGGTAGAGGTAGAACGGTAGAGGTCGAGGTTTGAGTTTAGGGGTAGGGTGCTGGTAGGGTGGAGGTAGGGTGGTGGTAGAGGTAGAATGTAGAGGTCGAGGTTTGAGTTTAGGGGTAGGGTGGAGGTAGGGTGGAGGTAGGGTGGTGGTAGAGGTAGAATGTAGAGGTCGAGGTTTGAGTTTAGGGGTAGGGTGCTGGTAGGGTGGAGGTAGGGTGGTGGTAGAGGTAGAACGGTAGAGGTCGAGGTTTGAGTTTAGGGGTAGGGTGGAGGTATAGGTAGAACGGTAGAGGTCGAGGTTTGAGTTTAGGGGTAGGGTGCTGGTAGGGTGGAGGTAGGGTGGTGGTAGAGGTAGGGTGGTAGGACTGTGGAGGTAGGGTGCTGGTAGAGGTAGGGTGTGTGGTAGAGGTAGAACGGTAGAGGTCGAGGTTTGAGTTTAGGGGTAGGGTGCTGGTAGGGTGGAGGTAGGGTGGTGGTAGAGGTAGAACGGTAGAGGTCGAGGTTTGAGTTTAGGGGTAGGGTGCTGGTAGGGTGGAGGTAGGGTGGTGGTAGAGGTAGAACGGTAGAGGTCGAGGTTTGAGTTTAGGGGTAGGTAGGGTGCTGTAGGGTGGAGGCAGGGTGGTGGTAGAGGTAGAATGTAGAGGTCGAGGTTTGAGTTTAGGGGTAGGGTGGAGGTATAGGGTGGAGGTAGGGTGGAGGTAGGGTGGAGGTAGGGTGGCGGTTGAGGTAGGTCGGTGGTAGAGGTAGGGGGGTGTGGTAGAGGTTGGGTGGTTCTAGATGTAGGGTGGTAGTAGAGGTGGGGTGACGGTAGAGGTAGGGTGGTGGTAGAGATTTAAAATGTTAGGCCTGTTATGGTTATTTCTATATACTTTATTCAAGATTCAAATCTTTATTCGAGATACGTCTATCAACATCTCCCACGGCATCCATATGGTATCTTTGTGGTTCTCTCTCACCTCTCTCTTTCTCTCTCTCTGTCTCATTGTCTCTGTCTATATGTCCCTCTTTCTCTCTGCCTTCTATCTTTCTTTCTGTCTCCCCCCCCCCCTCTCTCTCTCTCTCTCTCTCTCTCTCTATATATATATATATATATTTATATATATATATATATATATATATCATTATGTCTCTGTGTCTCTGTAGCTCTTCCACCTACGAATCCCTCTCGTCATCCCTTCCTTTTCTCTCGTCATCTCCCTCCCATCTTCATGCTCTTGAACCTTCACTTTGGTCTTTTATTCTTCATCTACATAATTATCATTCATTATCTTGTCTTATTTTATTCAACCTTTTCTCTTTTTAATACTCGTGGTCTTCTTCTTTTTCTTCTTTTTCTTCTTTTGATTTTTTCTTCTTTTTCTCGCGGGTCTTCCTCTTAAGTTATAGGAGGTCATTTTCTTCTTTCTTTCTTTTTCTCTGTTTGATTGCATGTCTATTCATGAATGAAGAATGTGATATATATTAGCTTACACTTGAACCAAGCTTCATCATTGTCATGTTGTAATTTTTTTTAAATGATAAAGTCACGTCGTTAACCATGTAGGCAATTTTCTTTCTACTTTCTACGTTCCCTTAAAAATACTATGTCCCTTTTGCAGCCAACATCAAATTCTTTAGAACTTTGCAGGAATTATGAATATGTCATGTATGTCCTATCTGTGAAATTTGAACGTTAGCAGTGTCCTCATATTCAAATTATGCAAGGAAACCTGTTTAGGCCTACTTACTAGACTTCACTGTCAGACACTATTGAGTGACTGACTGGCTATTTTCTCCTTTGGTGATAACATAAATTAAATGAGCTGTAAGGGTACATGAGCATTTGTTTAGATCAATAACCCACTTCTTGTAATGGCCAAAATAAAATTAAACTGATTGAATCTTTGCGCAGCATAAAACGTACGACCATTCGGTACAATGGTTTAAAAATCAGACTATTACTTACCGGCTCTATAGCTCTTAATTCGATTCAACATCTCAAAGTCGTTATTTTCCCACTTAAAGACATTTTCAAACCCCTTTTTTTTAGGGAAGTTCTAAATTAGTATTATCTTTCAAATGCCGTTGGAATTTAACCTTTTCATTTGTTTGGCTTGCAAATGGGACATAGTACCTTTAAGTCATAACTGACAGTAATGAGGATTAATGCCTCACAAAAGGGCTCTAATATAGCTGATCGACTCAGTTTTTTTTATTATGGGGCCTCACAGTAACGAGGGCATTGCTTAGCCACTGAATCATGACTGTACGCAGCGGGTGCTGCTAGGGTACGTCGCCGCCCCCTCAAATAAAAAAAAAACATAAAGAAAATGCAATAAATTATCAATAAGTCATTGTATTTTCCCCCGGTCCCTAACTGGAAAAAATCCTCTGTAGGGCCATGCATTATGAGGCATTAATCCTCATCACTGTTAGTTATGACTTAAGGACATAGGTCCCCGAGTTGATTAGCATAGTAACATGCTTTAGCAGTCACGCAAAAACAAACACTCACAATGTATTATTCAACACAATCTGAGAATGTATACTATTATCTAGATCTAAATCAGTGTCAAAAGGCATAAATTGGGGTAAAAATAATTATTCCACCATTATGACCAACAGTGTACTACTAATAATAGGTATCCATCAATAGTTCGTGGAATCCATCAGAAAGTTGACGTAGAAGAAGAACGAATGATATCCCAACAATGTGCTTAATTATGAAGACAATGTGCGGTAAAAATGCTCTGCTTTACACTTTTTAATTCATATTTATAAAAAATATAAAAAATCAGGTTAACATTTGATATAACCAATGTTAAACAATAAATTTGGTAACATTATTGAAGTAAATGCTTCCACATATCTTACCGTAGATATGCCATCCTGAAATGAACTCGTTTCTTTTCATTATTAAGATCAAGCTGTACAGTTTAAATAGGGGGACGTCCTCATCGTAAATAAAATGTCCATACAATAAATATACATAAACAGTGAGTGCATCGTTGAAGGCCAAGAACAACAAAAAATAGAGAGAGAGAAAGAGAGAGAGAGAGAGAGGAGAGAGAGAGAGAGAGAGAGAGAGAGAGAGAAAGAGAGAGAGAAATATATAATTCTTTATAAAAGATGGAAATCGTGCGACTATTATAGCCAAGTGGCAACACAGATTATTGATTTGATGCACGTCGAATCCGACCAGAGGACCACGACATTCCCCTCCAATCCAAATAGCTTTGTTGTTATTGTTGTTTTAGTCTTAAAGGCGTGTGTCATTCATTTATGAATATTTACGCCTGATCTATGAGCTCTGATCTTCGGCCTAAAATAAAATGAACTGAACTGTTCTGAACTAAGTTCTGAACTAGCCTCCGATCCCGTGCGGCCATACGAAAAAATAAGACGCATCCCTTAGCCTACCTAGGACAATTGAGGTCAACGCACTTTGTATTTACGTAATATTTTGTTGACAGTTTTGGCGTTCACATTGTTTGGGAGGCCGAGGCCAAGCTGACCAAATCACATGACTATGAAAACACATCAGTCACCTAGAAAGTAGTCTACAAGCAGTATCTTCATTGTTCATGTGTTAGTTATGCACAACGAGGTGGTGTTTAACTGACAGGTAAATGGTAAGATTTCTTCTGTATTTTGTTGCTTCATAATCATAAACATCTAACTAAGCGAAAAGTTGAAAACCCTTCTTCCGAAGTTCAGTTCAGTCCGACATGTTCGATCTAATGTAACTTCTAAGTTCTAGGGCCGGGGCCTATCTAATTTGTTCTCATAAGACATAAATTTCTAGATCTAGATCTAGATCTAGACCTCTATCTTGTCACTTCACTTGAAATTATGATTGATTTATTTTAACTTACACAGGTCTGTTAACAAAATTGGGGGTACAGAGCGGACAAAATACACTTTTTCCCTGTGATTCATAAGACCCAAGCACTTCAGTAAAGTCAGTAGATCTAAGTTAGAGTAGACTAGGCCACTCCGGCACACTCCAGTAAAAACTAAAACATGGAGTGTCAATGCTAATGCGTATTGACCTCTAGCACTGCACTGTGTGTTAATAGGCAGCATTTGAATACATGAATAGTCAATACACTTATAACACACAGATGTACACAATCATGCCGATGCGGCTGATCGGCAAGTTTGACAGTGGACTCACAATTTGAACTTTTTAATTATTCCTTCTAATATTGAACATCGGAAAGTTGAAAAAATTGTATCTACTGCTATTTAGGTGTCACCAATCGTCACTAAAGTACAGATTTTGAGTGTAATCAGTTGAGTTTTGTACAATGATGTTTGAAATGTTGAGAATCAATAGCAAAGCTTTTAATACACAGCCTGGATAGTAATGCACCTACATGTATGTGTGCAGTGGCCTACTGGGGCCCGTGGGGGTGCTGGTCCGAGAAAATGGTTCGTCTGCATAAACGAGGATCAACACGGACAAATCGCATTCCCAAGAATAAGGATCGTCCCCATTCGGCGCTCTGCGGGTGTATTAGAGTAGGGTTACTGATCCGCGCGCTGGCAATGCAAAAAATAGATTCTGCGTAAAAAAATATCCACAGTTCACTATCTACTTTTACGAGTTTTCTGTCATCCCGAGGATTTATCTAAATAACATGAAAGTCTCTGTGCTGCGCAAGTGATAAATGCATCATGGTATCATGGAGATCATCGCGGAATCCGTTTACGCATCACAAACTCGCGGATCAGACATAAGGACGCGCTTTGTCCGCGTTTACGAAGATATCCTTGATTATGCGGACGATCCTTATTCTCAGACCAGCGCCCCTACTGATGACTGAATCAAAGTTCTTTCAGTATCATACATTGTAATTGTTACTAGATCTATTGTAAGAATTAATTTTAGAAGAGCCAAGAAGTGATACAAAATTGGTGAATGGCATCCCTGACTTTGTTGCTTTGAAAAATCTGTTTGACACCCGATCTTGATAGTTACCATGGAAACCATACCAGAAGAACCTTCGACCTCGATGACATCTTCAGAGGAGGAGGAGCAGCCCAGATCCAGGTCTAGAGTCGTCTCTGTGGAACCAGTTATTTTCCTGATCCTAGCGGTCCAGGGGGTGGTGTTGGTGAACCTACGCACCCAGTATGTTGAGGAGCGTCTGGCAGCCGATAATAATTACACTCTTCCAGAGGCGGGGAACTGCTCTGCTGCTAACAAGTCGGGTATGAAATGATATAAGGTTATTCAATTAAGTTTACTCATTTCCTTAAAAAAATCACATTACAAGAACACTTACATTTGCAAACAATACTGTAAATAACATGCACAAATTTTCACTAGAATATACATAATTACATTAAGATATTAAAGGTATTACAAAGTTTTGGTATAAAGTCATGAATTTGTTTCAAATGAACATATTGGAAGCATATGCGATCCTACAATATTCAGCGATTGTTTGTCGCGGTTGAAATCAAGTCTAAAGTGATGAAAATAACACAATAAACTCTTTATGTTGTATAGCTCCCTCTCAAGGTCAAGATATTAATTAAGCTTTAAAACAATGTTTCTCGACTAAAATGACCGATTAGCTATTCCCGATTGGAAATTATATATCACAACTACATATTCTGAGATTTTCATGGTCGCAGCTACCATTTGTACGGCTGTAGGCGCTTTTTGAAATTCATCAAAATTTACCGGGAGCACCAGTAAATTTTTATATTCAATTTATCTCGAAAGCAGAAGTGTTTTAGGGGCTAAATTTTCTAGTGCTTATAATATATCCAAAGGGGCATCCAGGGTCAGAGGTCGACATCTATATTAACTGTAGCTACAAAGTTATGCATAAAATCAAATACATTTTTTATATGAGGAAATTCCAGAGATGAACAAAATTAACCACTCCTTTATTATCCTTTATTAAGCAAGTGCCTACAGTGCCTTAGAAGAGAAT